ATCCCAGGCACGCCTGAGCTGCCCCGCCGCCGGAGCCCCTCCGCGGGTGTGGAAACTCTGCGGCTATGTCTAGACTGGCATGATTTTCTGTAAATGCTTTTAACTGAAAAGTTTTCCGTTAAAAGCATTTGCGGAAAAGAGCATCTAGATTGGCACAGATGCTTTTCCACAAAAGCACTTTTTGCAGAAAAGCATCTGTGCCAATCTAAACGCGCTTTTGTGCAAAAAGCCCCGATCGCCATTTTCGTGATCGGGGCTTTTTTGCACAAAACAAATCTGAACTGTCTACACTGGCCCTTTTGCGCAAAAGCTTTTGCGCAGAAGGACTTTTGCCCGAACAGGAGCAGCATAGTATTTCCGCAAGAAGCACTGATTTCTTACATGAGATCGTCAGTGTTCTTGCGGAAATTCAAGCGGCCAATGTAAACAGATGGCAATTTTTTCCTGCTGCTTTTGCGGAAAAACTTGCCAGTCTAGACACAGCCTGCAATGTTTTAGACATGTTGTAGACATAGCCGGAGTGGCATAAGTATCTTGCGCAAATTTGGGGGGGGATGTTGCGCAAAACGAAAGCAGCTACACTGCTTCTTTTTGCTCAAAAACTCCTTGCGCAAAAAGAAACAGCAGAAAATATGCTAATGAGATTGCAACTTATCCTAATGAGTCCCTCATTGGCATATTTTCTGCCACAAAAACTCGCCATGTAGACAAAGCTTTGACTCTCTACTACTTTAATGTCAGCCACTGGAAGTAGTGTACACATGATTGTTCCACAACAAAACTTCTGAATTGGGGGAAAGCATAATTAAACATACACAGAATGTCCAATACTGGATGTGTAGAAATTAGGATGCCAAATTATCAATGAAGATAAGTCAGTACTCTTGAGGTAAGATCAGCAGAGTTACTGAATTTTTATGCTGAACACATTCTGTGCATCAGAGGTTTAGTAGGACTTTTTTTATGTTCCTTGCAAAATGAAATAAAGCTAAAATAAACATTTTTGTCAAAGTGGCTGAAATTCATCCCTA